CCCTAAAACTTGTTGAATTTACTGGTTTTTACCATTCTTTGTCGTTTTCCGCTGGTCATTTTCATTGTTGTTTCTACGTTTGATGATGGTTGTTTCAACTCTTTGTCGTTCTCTTTATTGTACTTTCTCAACAGAGTTATTTCTAAGTTTGCGGACAATGTCACTCATTTGACAAGGCCATGTCATTTTACAGTGGTTATTGTTTGTCCAGTCAGTGTCGTTTTCCACTGATTGTCGCCAATAGTGTTTATTGCTGTCGTCTATCATTAGTTGTCGTTTCGGTGGTTGGTGTTTTTCCAATCTTTGTCGTTTTCATGTCGTCCTTGGTCAAGGTAACGTTGTCTCTAAGGTTGAGGACAATGTTATTTTTCTGGTATTGTCGTTTTTCAACGGGTTGAGCAACGACCACGGTTTGTTGGACTCGTAAGAAATGGACTAGGTGGAAATAATGGTTATGAGATTTGCTTCATTTAGTTAATTTTTCTTATACTAGTTTAACTAAATTAATTTTTATTTTTGATGAAAGAATTTTAATTTTATTCTCATTTTGAGGCGCCAAATTTTACTTTTCAAGAGCTGGAAAAGCAATAATATTGCGACCATGTCAGGAAAGTGAAGATTGAAGAACCGTTGTTTTTTATTCAAGTCAAATAAGAACTCGTATTGACTCAAGCATGTCTATCATAATCTAATTATAATTGTATTCCACATAATAAACAAATAGGATAAAAGTTCACTAATATGCACAAGTATTCTTCTATATAGAGGGCTAGTGGTGAGAAGACATCGGACAAAAAATTTAGAGAAAATTATTGAATTTACTCTTAAAATGCATAAATTTAGATTTTAACTATTTACTTTTGATTAATACTCTTTTGACTAATATAATTATTTGATTAAAAAAAATATTAATCCAGATCAATACACTCTAAATGATATTTGTGTCCTTTCTTCAAAAATTTATGTAAGGTCTTTATTTGAAATACTGTAATAAATTATACAGTATACTATCTTTAATCGTGTTTACTGAGCAATGGTGTTTAATCAAGAGTATATATTAATGGTAGCTTTTTCATGTGGCGCATAAATTTATTTATAATATTACAGTACAAGTCTTTTCTAATTGTTGTATGTGTCGTTTACACTTGTGTAAGACAAAAATTTTCCCCAAGTCCTATAATAAAGTAATGAGAAACATAATAATAAACACATGCAAGTTGATATAGGTAGTTTCTACTTTGAACAATTTGATGTCAAATTGTCCAATTATCAAAAAAAAAAAAAAAAGTTGATGTCAACATTATTGTAATTGCAAATGTCAACTATGCAACCAAAAGGATAGGTTACGAATGGAGATTGTACTTCAAATGACTAATTTTAATTTCGGTTTTAGAACTAGGATATTTTGCATGTATTTTTTTAAGTAAATTACGTCTAAGCTATTTTACATTGATAAATTATCCTTTAAATTTGATTAAGTATTGGTTTTTTTAAAATTTAGACAAAAATGCTCTTCTATATAGACAGAAATGCTTTTTTAATGGCTTAGGAACAACTTGTCAATTCAATCCAATTCCTTCAAAAGGTAATAGCGCAAAAAGACCATACATGACACAACTATTTTCTTCTTCCTGTTGAAGTGTGAACTAGGACCAAGTTAAATTATTAGTGAAAACTTGATAAATACCGTTTAAAAGTACACGAGTTTTAATTTTTATCATTTATTCTTGATTAATATTCTTTTTAGTTAAATAATTATGTTAATAAAAAGGCACTAATCAACAGTAAAGAGAAAAAAATATAGACACATACATTTTTAGCGGTAAGTTCAACCATTTTCTTAATTTGTTTAATATAAATATACACAATAAGCATTGAAAACGACTGTCGTTTCTTCGTATGAAAAATAAGCCCAATCTGGAGGACAGTTCGGTAATTTGATAAAAGAAAAAGTGTTACTCTAAATAAATAAAATCTTTTTTCCCGCCAAGCACAAAAACGTCAAGGGCACACTAGTTTGGAGGCTTCTTCGACCTAATCAGCTCTAAGCTCTGATCGTTCTTCGAGTTCCAGAATCCCAGTCATCTAGATGGTAAATCAGTCTTTGTAATTTCTAATGAACTTTTAAAATTTTTCCTTTTCTTTCTGTAGATCATAAATTCACAAGTTTCTGTTTGATTTCAATTGAATTTAGGGCATTTTTTCTTGTAATGTTGTGAATAATTTGTGATTTGAGTGATGATTGTTAGAAGATAGTAATTCTCGTTACTCGGTTATAAAGCCTGTGAGTCCATCACTCAGTTATTTCATTTTCGCTCTGTTTGGTTGGCGAGAAAATGTGCGACAAGGAAAGGAGCTATCTGGCTTTGAATCTTCAATGTATTGCCGATAATCTTCTGATAAACATGTATTTGTTAAAATTTTGTTGAAATAATATGCGAATATTGAACTATTATTTATTCGTTTACCAATTTATGGCTTTTTCTATTTTTCGCCTGTGATAAAGTCGAAGAAAAGAGGGCTTTCGCTGGACGAGAAGCGTGAGAAGATGCTTCAAATCTTTTACGAGTCTCAGGACTTTTTCCTGGTGAGTATGTACAATTGAAGCCATTTATACGCCTTTTTTATTTTATTTTATTTTATTTTTTTGGAAATTTTATTATTTGATATTAGTTCCTTTAAGTATTTGAAATTTCTTTAAACTCTGTTGGATTTTTTTTTCTCAAATAACATAATTTCCTGTTCGTACGCTTCTTTGATGATTTCAGCTCAAGGAACTTGAGAAATTGGGACCAAAGAAAGGTGTGATCTCTCAATCTGTGAAAGATGTCGTCCAAAGTCTAGTGGACGATGATCTTGTTTCAAAAGACAAGATAGGAACTTCTGTAAGTTGATGTTTCTGGATACTTTTGAATTGAGTAGTGTTTTGCTTTTTAGCTGTTTGGTAGATAGATAAGGTTTCTGTGTTTTCACACGGACTTGAAACTGCGAAGATATCTGACAGCAACAATTCTGTAACCGTATAAAATATCTTAACAAGTTGATTAGCTTGGGATTTTTCAGAATTCATTAGTTTTTTTTTTTTTTTTGTTGAAATTTTCAGGTGTATTTTTGGAGTCTTCCCAGCTGTGCTGGAAATCAGGTGAATTAGGTGCTTTCTAGACCATCTAATAGCTTATCCTGCTTGTACTGACGTTGAATTTTTGGCAGCTGAGAAATGTGTATCGCAAACTTGAATCTGATCTTCATAGCAGTAAGAAGCGGTTTCAAGAGCTTGTGGAGCAGTGCGATTCTTTAAAGAAAGGACGAGAGGAATCTGTGAGTGTGCTCAAACACGCTATGTATAATCAGCATTGAATTAGTTAACCATTCGTTCAAGGAAAATGAATACATGGCTTGTTCTGCATCTGAAATCCGAGCTATTTCCAGGATGAAAGAGAGAATGCTTTAGCGGAGTTAAAAGCCATTGAGCAAAAGTATATGGAGTTGAAGGTTTGGAAAATATTTTTCAGATCCTTAATGAAACCAAGGATTCTAAATTCATTTAAGCCCCAAATTGCATTCCCTCGTCATTTTTAGGCTGAAATAAAGCAGTATGCGGACAATGATCCAGCTGCCGTTGAAGCAATGAGTTGAGAATTTCTTCTAATGTTTGAATCGTACACTTTCAATATACATTAATTTCTTCTTACTTGACAACTTCTGGGGTAGGCATACTGATTGTGATTGTTACATTGGCAGAGCAAGCAATAGAAGTGGCCCACTCAGCAGCTAACCGGTGGACAGGTTCTCCATTCATTGATTTAGATTGTTTAAATTCGTAGTCTGTAATCCATTTCTTTTCCAGTATAAGTTAGCTTGTATTTCAGAGAATTGCAGCTTATGTAGTGGTATTCTATGTGCTTCTTAACTAACACGTGCTAAAACTGTGCAGACAACATTTTCACACTGCGGCAGTGGTGTTCAAACAATTTTCCTCAGGCCAAAGAGCAGCTTGAAAACCTGTACAAGGAGGTAGATAAAGCAAACCTCCTGTTCACTCCACACATGTTTGACCAATAAGCTTAAGCTATAAATTTCAACCGCCAAAACAGTCAGTTCTATGCCCGTGTTTTGTGAGCGTGGCAATAAGTTCTGAATTTGGCATGTTGAGACCCAAAACCTTATTACAAGTTTCTGGTGAAACCATGTGCTGCTGTTGAAGCTATCAGCATGTTTCCTAGTTGGTCTTTTTTCTTAAATTGTGGTTTCAAATGCAGGCAGGAATAACAGATGACTTTGACTACCTGGAGATATCACCAGTTCCACTCAGCTCAGTGGCTGATTAGAAACTTGAAGGCAATAGCTCATACTTCTAATGGGATATGAAGTGCAACCATAATGCACATAATGCATTGGTGACTAGTAATGCAACCTAAAATTGTCATGCAATTCTGTTTCTTCTACTTATGTTGCTGTCCTAGATAGTGTTTTTATACATGCCTGAAGCTCTGAGAGTAGGGTAAATTTGATCCCAAAAAAGGGTTATCATCGTTGTACGAACGGTTTGGATATGAGGGGATTTGCGTGCCCTGTAGACTTGTAAGACAGCCTGTTCTGTTTGTAAATGCCGGCTTGAGATTTTCATCATAGTGTTCATTTCAGTTGTAGAATCATAACGCACAAATCTAATGGTAGCTGAATTGAAAATTGATCAAATTACTCAACCAGAATCAGTTCCTTAATGGACTTTCTCTGTGCTCTTAAAATTCTTAATTGGGGTGGGAAAAGGGAGACGAGTAACATAATGTGCACATATGATTTCTACCTTCAAACCTGAACCTTTAGTCTTACATTTCATCATTTCATATCTTAAAGCACCCACCATATTAGATCTGCCAATTTAAACCAATATTGAGAAGTTTATTAGACCCGTTTAGATCGTTGAGTTGAAATGTGACTTTAACTGAGAATTTTTTACTGTAATAAAAAAATTAAATATGACTATTTCTCAGAATTTTTTACTATAATAAAACTTAAATTTTAAATTCGAATCGGTAAAATAAGCGGAGCTTAGGAATGCATTTTGTGTAAATGTTTTGGAGGTACCAAAATTAGTACAAAAAATAATCTCTGAAATCCCTCTAATTCTAACCAAAATTATAACGGTTCAAATATCTGGGGTTTTCAAAACTGGCGTCAAAAGATACTTACTGTTACTGCCGTTTTGGAAGCTCATAGGATCCTTCCACGTGGACTTGTGGGACCAACCCAACGGTCAGAGTTCAATTATGCAACGTCTTCTTCGCCCCAAAAACGTTTTCAAAACCTGAAAATTTTTAAATTCGGAAAAAATAAATAAATATTTCCGTTCATACCTAATACGACTCAGAAGAAAGATCCAAAAAAAAAAAACAATGATAGTTATGGGCATGTGGGAATCGCCATTCATTGGATGAGGTCCACCAATACACAGCTCGACAATAACTGTAGTCTGAACGTGCAGGCGTTATTAACCCTACACGTGGCACCGATCAACGGCATAGGTTCTTGCTTGAGGGCCCCACATTAGTTACCTACGATGTACCAGCAATTATAAGCCCCGAGTGGCCTGCTCTGTGCAAAGAACCTGCCAGGCATTCTCTTCCTCTTTATAAACCCAAACTCTTGAAACGCCTGCTTAAGAAAGACAATTTTTCTTTTGAGTTTAACAAGAACCCAATAGAAGATTTTTCCTTCTTTCTTCGCCTCTTTCAAGAGCTTGTGAAAATGGAGGTGTTTAGATTTGAGTTCTTGGTTATGGCGGCTTTGGCACTTGTCATGGCTTTTTTAGTTCCTTCAATCAATGCTCAAAGCTCTGCTGCTGCACCAGCTCCTGCCCCAACAAGTGATGGTTTGTTCTCTCTCTCTCTCTCTCTCTCTCTCTCACACACACACACACACATATATATATATATATTATGTGTATGTATTATACAGATGTATATGTATGTATATATATCAATATTGGGGGTTAAGGTGTTAATGGTAAATTTGTTAATGCAGGCGTAGCGGTAGATCAAGGAATCGCCTACGTGCTAATGCTGGTGGCTCTGGTGCTGACATACATCATTCACTGACCATTTTTGTTTAGAGAAAAGGAAGGAAAGAGATCAAGAAGAAACATTTGTTAGTCTATGCTTCGCTAACAATCATCATCATGTATTGTTACCTTCATTTTCCCACCATTTTATTATTGTTAATTCCATTTATGAGTATTCTTTTTTTTTTTTTCTCTTATTGCTAATGTATAATCTGTTCATTGTTTAAAGATTGGAAATTTGAGCATTTCATCTCTAAATCCCAAATGGGATTTGAAAGTCTTTTGCTTTTCAATCAATCTTATCACTATTAGCTCCTTTTAAATAACCCTTAAATGGCTAAATTTTTTTTTTTTTCCATTTTTTTAATGCAAACTGTGAGTGGCTAATTATTTTACTGTGGGGGTGCTTTGTCTGCATAATGGTAACTTCAGTGAAATCCCCCCTTTTTTTTTTTTTTGAAAACAAGTGGAATCCATTTTTGAGGTTACTTTGTGTGGTCAATAGTCTATGAAGAATTTTGAATTTGAAGAGCCCACCAAACCAGACAGCGTGTACATCACCACGCCATGTTTGGGGTTAGTTGTAAACTTGTAAGCTTCATCGAATGTGGGTTTCTGATTTTTTTTTTTTTTTAATACTGCTTAGTAGTCAGCAAAAAAACAAAAACATGAGAAACATGACGAATCCCTCCTAAAATCCAAAAGCCCTTTCAAAATAATGCCAAAGAGTATTGTTATTATCAGCATCCATAGTTTCTAATAAGTTGTTGACCCCGGCTAGCTAATATTGAATACAATTTTTTTTTTTTTTTTTAAGAAACAGGTTTCTAATTTTTATTTATAGTTTTTTAAAATAATTGTATTCTGCGTACATAAATTTATAAATAATTCACACAGATAATTCTTAACTTTTTTAATATGTGACATTTTAATCTTTACTTTTTTAATTTTAATAAAATGATTCCTAACGTCGTTAAATTTGTGTAATTAAGGGTCGCTCAGTTCATTAATTTAAATTTTTAATTTAAATTAAGATATAATGTTATGTAAAATTTTTTTACTATAATAAAAAAAATAAATGTAACCGTTTATGTTTATAACAGTTTCCAAAAAACATGCCTAAATCCTTTCGGTTTCTCTATCAATTTTCTAACACAAATTAACACGTGACCCTCACCTGACATATAATTATGCTGAAAAGACCAGATTATCCTCATTTCTTCTTCTTCTTTTTTTTTTTTTTTTTTAATCTGACACCAACAACAGAAAAGAACAATCTTTACATGTAGATCGTTCAAATGGGTATTATCAGATAGATCTCATAAATCCAAAAACTAATATTGATTTGAGCAAAACAAATGATTATTTTTTTCCAAAAAAAAAAAAAGATATTGTTCTTCTTACCTTAAACATCAGCATAAAAATAGACCAAAAATCCAAACCAAGGACACAAATTATTATTTCCAGAATCTGAAGAAAACCCAGTTTCAGTTCAAAGCTTGAGAGCGAATATCATAAGAAAATGGATGACAAAAATATTCGTATTCAGAAACATTAATGACATGAGAGAGAAGACCAACGGTGATGGAAAGAAATCGGCAGGGGTTGCCCTGTTTGGAACTTAAGGAAAGGAAGGAGGACAATTTTTTGTTAACCGCATAGAGAAAGTGAGAGAAGAGGGAGAGAGAGAAAGCGCTGTTGGGTGTTGGTGTGAACTCTCGCCGGCGCCGGCGCTGGCCTACTGTTACCGGAGAGGATGAAGACGCGAGAGAGAGAGCAGAGGAAGAGCATCAAGAAGACCCAGAAAAGGTTTTGGATTTGAGATATGACCCAAATAAGGATCTAATTTGATTTCGTTGTGATGGGGTTGTTGGAAAATGAAGGGTACGGAGAGATTCAGCTCCAATTGCCGGTGAAGAACAGAGAAAAGTCTTGTTGGCGGCGACTTGTCGAAGCCATGGTGAGAGAGAGATTCACTCAGAGCGAGAATGATCATTCCAGAAGATTACGGCCAAGATGATTACATTTTTCTATTTTTTTTTTTTTTTTTTTTTTTTTTTTTTTTTTTTTTTTTTTCTGGTGTTGGGTCTCTTGAAAGCTCACCAGAAATAGAAATGAAAGTGAAATTTTCATATGAAGAAGAATTGCAGAGAGAGAGAAGAGCAAGGGGGTGAGAGAAATAAAGAATAGAAAGAAAGAAGAGAAAGAGAAAACTCCAAAAAAGACACGACAAAAAGAAAAAAGAAAAAGAGGGTAAAGAAAAAAACTCAACGTCACAAATTAGAATAGAATATCTACCCAAATTAAATAAATTCATGATTTTATGAAAATAACCATTGTAAAAATAATGAAAATAACCTTTGTAATAGGGTCACATGAATTTTAACGTGGGTAATTTGACGAAGATAGACAAAAAAAAAAACTTAATTACATTAATTTAATAATGTTGAAAACTACTTTATTAAAATTAAAAAAATAGAAATTAAGGTCTCATTTATTTTATCGATTTAAATTTATAGTTTGAGTTTTATTATAATAACAAATTTTAAGAAACAATTATATCTAATATTTTTATTGTAATAAAAAATTTTAACATAAAATTACATCTTAATTCAAATTAAAAACTCGAATCAACGAACTAAACTGACCCTGAATTACGCACAATTACCCTAAATCTATTTATTTGCATACACAATGTTTTTTCGATTTTTTTAACTTATTTTTAATTTGAAAATTCAAATTATTATCTCTCTGTATTATTAATTTATTAGTCCTATAATTGCGTGCCGTATTTTGCTAACTAATTATGATCATCAGTCATTGCTTAACTAATCACAAATAGTGGTACATCTTGTCAAATATACTAGTTCTTGCCGGTGTTTAGCATTTTATTTTATTTATTTATTTATTTATTTTTGGCACAAATGGACAGAGGAACACGACACTTTGGCGTGTTTGGAATTGCATTGTTTTCCCTAAAAAAAAAAAAAGAAAAAAGAATTGCATTGTTTAGTATTTTTGTAATTTACTTATCTCATAATTTATACGTATGTATAATTGAAAAAAAAAATTTGTTATAATTATCTTAGTAAGCATCACAACTGCTTAACCAAAAGAAAACCCACATACTGGCATTGAGTCCTACAAATTCTTACACAGGAAGTCATATAATTTTAAGCAAGAGTCTGATTGATTTAAAAATTAGTGATATCTTTGACCACAACACAAGTATGAACATGATTAATTGAAAAATTAGTAATGCGTTGGCTACAACTTCGGCTCCAAAGACACGCAAAATGAAGTTCAAAGACTAGATCACACTTCATGAGGGAATATTTCCAACAAATAGGTGCAAATTATAAGAGCTCCAAGTCATATTAATCCTGAAACAAATTGTGAACACAAGATGATCTCCCCGTCATCGACATCTGATCATACCAGAGAACTTAAAAAAAAACACAAATCATAAATGTTGTGTGGATTTCTGACAGTAATGACATTCAAATGCCAAAAGATACGAAAATGAGTGCTACAAATTTTCTAGAATAAACTTGGCAAGTTTTCTTTTTTCATTTTCTTATTTGGTTCGTGCTCTCGAAATAGGGTCTCGGGCTCAATAACAGTGGAGTCTAAGAGAACGTTTGATTTATGTATTCAGAATCATAATTTAAAATTATTCTCATTTTACGTGTATTTTTTATGAGAAAAAACACTGTAAAAAATCATGAATCATGATTCAAAATCAGAGACGAATATAAAAAATAAATGTCCATTAAATTTAAAAAAGACCCCCAAACCAAAGAGCATTGCTAAGCAGCTCCAACTCTACAACACGTGGGGATGGGGCCCACCCCATGTGTCCGCGGAGTTATAACTCCGCAGAGCCGCTCATCATTTCTCAAACCAAATGCTCATGCCTCAGAATTAGGGGTTTCTAAATCAATTTGACTTGGATATGGAACAGTACGAATCCCCCATCTGGTAGTTCAGCCAAGTCTACTAATGGCAATGGTAACTAGACGGTAATGATTACAATGGCTACAAGACAATACCACAATCAAGTTGGTAATAGTAACACTACATGATACCAATATATTGATGGAGGCCTTGAAACATTGAAAAAATGTTCCAAAAGAGTTGTCTGAGAAAACCAATGGCGGAGAAGCAAACTCATGCAAATGCTCCAGAAATCAAAATAACAAAGGTCCAAAGGGGGATTATGATAATGTTCAATTATGCCACCTTTATATACATTACGTTCGTTCAAGATTAAAACCACGCAGAAATCTGGATGTGCATCAAACGCGCAGAAATCTCCCCTGTGCAATCAGGCCACTTCTTTACATGACCTTTTCTTATGGTGCCCAGAAATATCTGCAACATACTAACCAATGAGAATCAACTCTCAATGCGAAGCACAAGAGAACAGGAACTTAATATAAAGACAACCTTTGAATTCATTTTCATAAAACGTACAAACTTGACCCTTTTAGCAGGGCTATCGTCTCACGATAAAATAAACATGTGACACCCGAAAAGGTAACCAAGCAGATTAGTCCTGCTGATTGATTCACTAATAGAAATGGAAAAATCATATACAACTGATAAGTGACCTTCTTAAAGGGCCATCTCAGCCTGCAAAGCAGCCAGTTCATCTTCTTCAGCAGTGCGTCTCTGAGGAACAGGACGAGCAGGTTGGCGGCCAGCTGGGACCTGCACAGGAGCAGCAGGAGCTGTTGTTGCAGGCTGGAGAAGCTGTTCTTCCAACTCAGCACCTTCCAGTTCTTCAAGTTCAGCTTCCAGTTCATCCTGCAATGATAATAATGCATCAACTTTTCAGCGGCTAAATACTAGTAGCCTATTAAAGCATGTAAAAAGAAAATGAAAAGAGCGAATGCTCTATTGAGGAGAAGGAACGTATGAATTTCAGAACAAATCAAACAAATACAACAAAAGGAAATCATCCAGAAGATGACTACCTCATCGAAATCAGCTGCTGCACCAATTGGAGCTGACAAAGCTTCCTGGATCTGTTTCATGTTCTCTGTCTGCTCATTAATCTCATCCATAGTCTTATCCACATCATCTATATTCCTGTACAACAGAAATAGTATATCAATCATTGACAGAAATAAGATTCTTCTAAGTGCAAAGATGCCAAATAAAACATAACTGCTACTTACGTTGCTTTCTGCATTGCCTTCATTGCAGATGCGCCAGTTCTCAAAGCATCTACTGTTTCAGTTGTTGCCTTTGCACCTTCCAGCATTATCATCTGTAACAGACATTTGCAAATCAACAACCATATCCTCCTAGCATCTTTAAAACTACAACTAAAATTTTTCATAAAACACTGGAGTCATCAACTTATAGAACTCCAAGGATCACCTGGTCATGAATGCGCAACTGGAAATTCCCAAGCTGCTCTATTTGCTGTTCGTATAGCCTCTTTCTCTTTAAACACTGTATAGCCGCTGCAAACAGCAACACAAGTCAATATCAAACAATAAACAATAAAATATTGAAACCATAAACAGAAGGCCAAAAGTCGCTTAGAAATCAAATATTAGAATATACATAAACAGGGCAAATAAATTTTGAGGATACAGCTTCTATTTCAGGATACATAGACAGGACCAAGAAAATTTCAATCCCCCCAGCATTGCAAGAAAATGAAAAGCTGTAGATGTAGAATAAGTGCACAATAATACATTGCAAAATTTTTAAAGGGGAACTATAAAGCTCCAGCATCGGCTTATCATAGCATCAAAGGACTGTATAAAGTTCAACTGGAGGTGAAAACAGTAGAAGATATTAAAAAACACCAGAGCGAAAGTACGATCCAGAAAACCCAGTAGAATCATGTTCAAGATGCAGTACCAATGACACTGGTACTAATCAAGAAGTCAAGAACGCTGGTATAAATAAGCATTCAATGAAGTTAAAACAGTAATATAAGTCTACTCTCGTGGTTTCATCCAGAGAGTAAATGAGAACTCATAAAACAAAGAGAGATTAAACCAATAACCAATTTCCCAGTTGAGGCCTTTCTCAATTCTACCATACATGACCTCCCTAATTGTAGACATTTAAAGACCACATTTCATAGTTATACCATACCCTTTTTGTTCTTAGCTCTGGTGAATTCCTTGGCCCTTTCAACTTCTGCGGAAGCCTTTTTTTGTAGTACTTTCTCCTTTTTTTCCAGCATTTCAAGTGTCTGCATGATTCAAATGAATAACAAATCAACTAACAAACTAGGATCAAGAAAAAAAAGTCTAGTCAAGAAGTTGTTACAATATCCACGTCAATAAACATGTTACTCAAAATCTTTTCACAACTCAAGTTCTATTGCTACAGTATTTTCTCTCATAAAAATTAAAATTCAACTTCTTTGTTACAGTATTTTTCTTTAACGTACACAACTCAAGTTAAGAACCGGAGTTGTGAAACAAACATACCCTTAAATTTCCTGCGTAACTGTTTTATTTACAAATATCAAGAATAACAGCTTCAAAGTCCATATCATAAGTAATTGCATTGACAATCAAAGAAAACATGACCAACTAAACAGTGATCATTCCCTCATATAACATCAAGTAAGCTCACAATGAAACCATCATAACTGACAACTGCAGAGTAAACAAAGAAACGCACCAAAAGTTGTATAAAAGAACCAAAATTTAATCAAACCCATTAGTGAAACCAATAAAACCTATGCAATGAAATAAACAAGGCATCAAAATAAAACACAACAAAAAATCCCGAATTTTCCTGGGGAAAAAACTGAAATTAATAAACAATAGAAAAAATCAATAAGAAATTCGGAATTATACCTCATTTAATTTGTCTAACGTGGCTAGGGCATTGGTTTCCTGTTTAGGCTTTCCAAAAATCCGAGTAAACATGGTTGATCCTTTGCGATTGCTAAACCTTTTCGCTCTCCTGCAAAACAAAATCAAATCGCACAAAACCCTAAATTTCAAATCGATCCGAAGGTCAAAAATAAAAAAAATAATTCCGATCAATCACGACGTTTTAAAAACAAAATCCTCAATAAATACGCAAAAACATTTCCATACCTCGAATTGAACCCCCAATTTGAACAGATGGATCGGACAGAGAAGAAAAATTAGGGTTCGGAGGAGAAAAAGGAAATAGATCTATGGATTATGGTGAGAAAAGGAGTAAAAAAGAGAAGAGAGCGATTGGGCTTTTGATCGGTCTTTTTGGGTTTAATTTTGATTTTGGGGCTTTTCTTAGTCGTGTTGCGTTTGAGAGAAGGAGTGGACAACGAAGGTGCTTTGCCTTTTCGTTACGTCGTTGTTTCAGAGTCATTGGCTTCGCCACGTGGCGGCAAGATGATTAGTTTATTGCGTGTGGGTCCCGCAGTTCAACTTTAGTGAGCGGTTGGGATGGTTCTTTGTTCTCGCGGAGTCAACACGACGACGTACTCAGATTTATTATTATCTGCTTCTTTATTTTAGGGTTATTACATTGTTAGTCCTCAAATTATGCACATTGTTTCATTTTTATTCATGAACATTTAATTTCAACAAACTACTCCCTCAATTTTTGATTTTCAATCGTTTTGCAGTTTTAGTTCCTGACATTAAAATTGATGGACTTTTAAATTTCACATTGATAACATGACATGGTGGCATAATAACTTAGTTTTTTAGAAAAATAAGTTGCATTAAATGCAAATATTATCTTTATTGTTTTCTAAAACCCTTTAAAACTAAAAATATTTTCCGTTTAATGGAATTATTTTTTATGTTTCGCATACCATGCAATTAAAACGCTATTATCTCTAATAAAATTTCACTAGTCATTTACTCATTTGTCCATTTTAGTATCAGGGATCAAAATGATCAAAAAATCAAAGTTCTAAGAGTAATTTGATAAAATTAAAAAAATTATAGATGAAAATAACACAATACTCATAATTTAGAGTGCTAATATAATTTTTCATTTTGTTAATAATTAAATACGATATAGATAAAATCACATCAAAATAAATAAATAAATAAAGTATAAAAGACTAATGTAACCTAACGCAAAAATTGAGCCTCACCAATATGGTACTTTCTTACCCTATCATAAAATTCCTTTTTTTTATCTACGTATTATTCACATTATCATGACTTTTTATTTTATTTTGTTGAATATTTACCATCACCTTTTGCAACTACATTTAAAAAACAAAAAAACAAAAAAAAAAAAAAAAACACTATAACCATGACTAAGGCCTCACACCATAGGAGCATCAAGATTCAAGGAGATATGTTTCTCCAACTTTTCCATTGACTTGCCAACCTGAAAAAGCTCGGCCATACAAGCAGCGAGCATGATTTTCAATTCGGCATACTTTGCAAACTCTTGTACGCATTCGCTTGTTATGGCGATGTCCATTTATTTATGATAAACTTCAAAGTCAGGTTGTTCAAGTTTGATACGTTTTGACGGGAGGTGAGTTGATTTTAAGTTCGCTGACTTGAGTTGAGATGTAATTTTATGTGAGAGTTTTTTATTGTAGTAAAAATATTAGATGTGACTATTTCTAAAAGCCTTTTACTGTAGCAAAACTCGAATTTTAAACTCGAATCGGTAAAATAAACGGGCATAATTTAATTCTGTCTCCAGTAGCTTTTGGCCGGCAGTGGAAATTCTAGAAGACTGCTTGGATTTGTCTTCAGAATCAGAAATTATTATCAAAGACGTGCTTGTGAAAAAAACATAGCTCCTTTATTTCTACCTCATGCCCAAAGTTGAACAATGATGAACATTTCTTTAACCCCTCACGCTTAAATAGTGGTATATATATAGATAAAAAAAAAAGTACGTAATATAAATTTTGACTTTTACTGATCACTATGATTGTAAAAAGAAATCGGGTAACAAAGTTTTTATTTTTGTATTTGAAAAAAAATTAATAAATGCTTTAGACTATATTTTGCATGCATGAACTTCTTCTCCCCTTGAAACTTCGATAAAGACCAACAAAGGCCTTCAAGAATTTTAGGGAAAAAGGAAGCTAAAACCGAAAAAGGAACCATCAATTGAGTTTATACAAAAATACGTACAAATCATTACTCCAGCATTTTCATCAACCAATCATTTTCCAGCACGTCCCTATCCGGGAAGAGTTTTGGAAATCAAGGAAACAAAATCAAAATCATAATCAAGCAGAGTTCTTTTGGATTTTTCTCTTAAATTGGGGTATGGTTTGTACAGCCTACTGTAAAACAAGAAAAAAAACTTCTATGGATTTCAGCTGAAAAAAGGAAACTAAACAAAACCATCTAAGAGTTGTCCTTTTCTTTTGGGGTCCAACGTGAGTAAAAAATGGCAGTGGCAATAACTAAAACTGCCATTTTATTACGTTTCCCACTTTAAAACCTCTGTCCCAAATATCTTCCTCTTTTGCAAATAAAGAAACTTCTTAACTAATTGATTCCGTCATGTGATTTGATTTCTTCCTAAATTAAATCGTCAGAATCCCATTTCCAAAACCCCCCCTATTCCTCTAGCAAGAGAAAAAAAGGAGAGGAGCAATTTTTCAATGGATCATGCTCTAGAGTGGAAATATGACGCTATGTATGATAGCTGGATTTTGGAGCCAAGCCATGCTTCCAGAACACAAAAAACCTTCAAATCGCCAACCCAAAATCACAGACACTCCTCTGCTGAAACTTATTGTTCACCATTCTACTCGTCCGCGTCACCACCGCGGTCTTTTTCTCAGAAACGGTCAACGCCTTCCCCGCGGTGCCACACCGATGCAGCGAGGCACGACAAGGGAAGGTCTTGGAAGTCGTGGAAGCGATACTGGACGTGCTTCAAGCCTCCAACAGATCATCCTCCTCATCATCATTATGCAATTAGGCCCTCACCAAAGAAAGAGAAGCAAAAGATGATGGAGCCTGGTAATGCCTTGGCTAAGACAAGAAGTCCTAGTTTGCAGACTCGGTTTCATGCTAGTACTACTACTACTAATAATAATAATAATAATAGCTATTACACTTCAATGAATGCTGAAGAACGTGATGAGAATCTCAAAGCTGTGGTCCGCTACTGCAAGGGTACTACCACTAAATAGTAATTCTCTTTCCTTTTCATGGTTCCTTTATACATTTTTTTTTTTTTGGTTTCTTGACTTTTTTTTTTAAATCTTTTTTAGGTCTTGAAGAATTGATGCAATATGATATGAGTTAATGTTATAAAAACTAGCCCTAATTGCAAAACTCAGAGATTCAATCACGCAATAATTGGAAGAAAACTGAGAATTTTATTTCTGACTTGCTTTAAGATTACAGACTCATTTCTTGCTCTTTCTCTCACAAGAAATCTCAGTCACTAAGTTTCTATTTTCTGTTGCAATTGACTTTACATAGTACACTTAGCTTAGCAATCACTGACTAATCCACTTGTAACACTTTTGCTTTAGACTATTACAATTAATCCTGTACAATTAATTGTCCACGTCAGCTACTCAAGACTTTTAATCAACGACCACAGATGCCTCAACAGTTAAAACTTGCAGCCTCAATGAGTTCTGTTCGTCTTTGATCAGATTTCCTTGTTTTTTTTTTTTCTTTTTCAAGGCTTTTTAGCCTTTAACTACACTCATATGATATAGTATGAAGAAATATTGAAAAAAAGAGCTCTATAATTTTGTATATCTTCTTATATGAACTGACGTGTTAATACTGACAGATTTTCAGTATGCATATGACTATCATTTTATCTTTTATTTTTATTTTTATTTTTTTATTGCCTCCTCTTTATTTTTTTTCCTTTTCCTTCAAATATAACGATAACAATATTGTGAAATTGCTTTCTTCAATGAAGGATGGTGATAGATGGCATATATAGATAACATTTTACTGCAACATAAGGAAATAATCAAGGCGCAAAAGTAGGTTATTCATTTTATTTTTTTTCCCTTTAGATTTCTGAATTTTTTTATATCAAAGTGAATAATATTTTGATTATTCTTCCTAGTGATTGAAAATCTCTTTTGACAAATTTCCCTTTCTGGTTTATCAACTTCCTAAGGAAATGGTTTTGGCAATTATATTTGACCCCCCAAAATTAACACGAATAAATGAGTCAGTTTGATCAACTGTTTCCATTTATGAATATTCATTTACAAAACTTTCCCATAACACATTTTTACTCCCTCTCATATTTTTTGTCAAGGGACCATCTATTTTTTTACGCCAATGTTATATGGCTTCTTTCATATATTGTCTCATCTTCTCTTTTTCCTTCTTGGTACTTGTTGATGGTGGAATTTCGTCAATAAGATTATGCATGATTACCTCACGGTGGTTCGTTATATTACCAGTCAAAACTAGTTATATTCTCAGATTTTTATAACTGGTTGTGTATGTTTTTGAGGTATATTGAGAGATGTATCGATTTGTCGTTTGAAACGAAAGTAGAAAGACACGCGAGTTTATAGTGGTTCACTCGATCAAAAAAGAGATACATCCACTGCTTATTGTATTTTTCTTTGTTCTTCAAAGATTACAAAAAAACTCTCTTTCTCTCTTGGACTTTGCCCCTTATATACCCTATAGATTACATATGGGTACGTAAAGGCCGGATCGTCACAGGGGATTCTCTGATGGTTTCTTATCAAGTAACCTATTATCCTAATTCCTACCTGCTTAGATCATAGCCTCTTGGCGCCTTTCGGACTGTTCATTCACCCACTTTGTTCACTTTGTCTACCATCAAAGTGAATAATATTTTGATTATTCTTCCCAGTGATTGAAAATCTCTGTTGACAAGTTTCCCTTGCTGGTTTATCAACTTCCTAAGGAAATGCTTTTGGCAATTATATTTGACCCTCCAAAATTAACACGAATAAATGAGTCAGTTTGATCAACTGTTTCCATTTATGAATATTCATTTACGAAACTTTCCCACAACACATTTTTACTTCCTCTCATAACATAATGCAAGTTGAAGCATAATAAAGGGGCCCTATATTTTGTAACGCCAATGTTATATGGCTTCTTTCATATATTGTCTCATCTTCTCTTTTTCCTTCTTGGTACCAATCTAAAACTCTCCAGGCGATTAAATTTGGGCAAGTGCCAAACAAAATAAACGATGAGTTAAAGGGAGAATGTAGTAAACAATAGATTTCAAAACTATTTGAAGAATAACAGTTGTAAAAAGAATTTTTTCACGTATATTTTTTTTTACGACTGGTAGAAAGAATTTTTTTTGCGTAAATAGAGATTTTTTACCACGTAAATTTTTTTTTTCCAATCGTAAATGAAACATTTACACAATAAACAGCTATTTACTTCAAATAGTTTTCAAATTTATTATTTACTTAATTTAGTTTTAAAAATCTAACCACAATTTCTGAACTTTATATGTCTGACTAATTAAAAACTTTAGGTTTTTTTTTTTTTTGGTAAAATCTACACACTCTTTCTTTTTTATTATTCTAGCTTTGACAACTAGAAAACTATAAGATTTCAGTACGCATATGTACATTTTGGTCCATATTTGACATAGAGATGAGTGATAAAAGCTTGTTGAACTTTTAAGAATCATAGAAGGAAAAAAAAAAAAATGCTTTACATCCTGATGGGGTTAGTCACGATGTGAGATACAATGGCAGACATCCCCCCGAAAGATTCATGCGTCCGGTCTATATTTATCTCACACCACGACCCAATTTTGGTCGTGACGTTTAGCAGTGCTCCTCACAAAATTGTAACACCGCCACTAAAGGTGCGTTTAGTAGTGTTTCCTAAAGCCTAAAATCACTTTTTAAACTATCAGAAACTGATAATGGTGTTTAATAAAAATAATATAAAGTAATTTTTTAAAAAAATTTGAAGAATCTACAGCTAAAATCAGAAACAGTCCAAATGCAACTTTAGTTTTTAGATTGTACGAGAATCAACATAGTACAATTAATAATTATCAACAAAGTTATATTAAATAATTAACTATTAATTACTAATTATATTATATATTAATTAATAACTAATAAATAGATAGTAATTACTTAATTATTAATTTATTAATATTAAGTTTTTAATCTTGTTAACAAAATAATAAATAATATAGTAATATTTATTTAGTTAAAGATTAATTGTCAAAAATTAATTATATAACATATTAACAATAAAACAAGTAATAATAGGTTATTAAATAAATAATAAATAATGAATAATGAATGTATCAATCATATATTATGTTAATTATAATCTACTAATCAGTAAATAGTTGATAAATAAAAAATAAATAGTAATTACTCAATTAATAATTAATATTAAATTATAATTATCAATATGTAATATATTATTCAATAATAACTAATAATTGATAATTAGTAATTAACCATTATAAAAAGAATAATTACCAAAAATTGATAATGTGATATATCAAATAATAGATTATTAAATAAACATTAGTAATTAATTAACTAATTATTTAATTATGTAAGTAAAAGTTAAAAGTTAATAATTTAAGTAGTAAAAGGAATATTAATAAATTATGTATATACTAATTATTTTTCTTAATACACTAATTAATTACTTATAATCTAATAAATATGAGTACATTACTAACATAGTAATTACTTATAATTAATTACTAATTATCAATTATTAATTACTTTATATATTAATTTAATATTATTAATTACGGTCATCTTAACTCTTCACAACAATTAAACCTCACAATTTACCAAACACTATTACGCTATTTTTAAAACCAACAACACTCTATAATTACAATATACTAAACATTCAATTGATTTTTGTAATAACTGTTTTTTCACAATCTACATCACTGCCGGCCCTAAGTTGGAGTGAGTTATCATCATCCTTCTAGCCCTAAAAAAAAAAACACCCCATCGCCCAGAATTGAGGCCTTAATTGAGAGTTTTATATTTTAATGGGAAGATAGAGATCGTGTGTCATGACAGCTTCGACTCAATGCATTGACTTCGGCACTGACTGCCCCGGATCGGAAGGCATAACTATTGTGGTCTCGTCTCGCAAACCGGTTCAACCGTTTTAAGATTTTACTCTGGGTACAGTATTTGGAATGCAACTTAGTTTGCAGAATTTTTTAAAATTAATTTGAGGGTTAATTTTGAGATAGATCCTTCCTGTGTTTCATCAGAACAAACTGTTACCAGAAAAAATACGAACAAGGACAAAGAACGAGGAATTGAAGTGCTTGTTTGGCATGTTCCAAATGCACAGCAAAGGAGAAATTCCATATATAACCGTTCATGTGAGAGACATGGTAATTTGCATTTACCCTTCATCTGAAAGGTTGTATTTTCAAAATAACTGGATAATAAATATGGATTTGTTAAAAGGTTTATCCTGTCTAATACTATCCACTATAATCAACTCCAATCTATCATTATATTGATCATGACCGTCGAATCAGATTATCCATGATTAGTACTCGATATCCCTTACAAAACTAAGTCTGCCACAGTGATGGTTACCACAAACAAATATGCTCACCCGCACAAATCCTCCAAGGGCTCACTATGTTGGAAAACTTTTCGTTTTGTCAAAGAAAAACATCGCAATTTGCAAACAAATCATGTAACTTGATAAGATTTCACTAAACAAAAAAAATCTCTTTCAAACTACTCATTTCCCTAGGTGCCAACGAGAAATATCCCTACAAACAACAAGAGAAACGTTAAATCCTCTAATCTGGTGTTAATCACAGGTCAATCCGAGGACATTATCTAATATGGTGTTCTCAAAAAATTTAAATAGCAGTATACCATTATTTTGTGCTACTTGTTGATACAAATAACACTCGTTAACAAGCATTACCCCTACAACTGAAAGTCTAACGGTCCCATTCATTTCACTAGTTCAAATCACAACTCAAGTGTGCTACAATATTTTCTCTCACAAAAATTCAAATTCAGCTTTTCCTGTTACAATGTTTTCTCTCACATGAATTCACTTTTAACTCAACCTCAACTGGAATTGAGCAAAACAAACAAACCTATCAATCTTAATCCGAGCAGAAACTGGACAGGAAATTCGTTTGAAGTTTACGGGCATCATACAAAAAACAAAATAAATTATGCATTCAATCTCCTCTAGGAGCCTCTGAACTAGTGCAGTTAAGTTGGAATAAGTAATCAACACCACTTAATGGCTAATAAACCAGTGTAGTTCTACTTTGACAGAAAACTAATTATTCACTATCCAATCAACATTTAGTTCAATTATCACTCTCTCTACTTAATCTCACCCACCTGTCTCAAACAGAATTTAATATGACCAGCCAAACACATGTTTAACTATGTAAATGTTATCAATCAAAATTAAGTTTTGCCATGCCGTTGGAAAACTAAAATGGGAAACGATAAAAGGGAATACGTAATCCAAGCAAAAAACAGAGAGAAACAAATTCACATTTCTACAACTAAAGCATTTCTTTAACATAATAATCCATAACTCAAATCTCCAAAAATAATAAACCAGTAAAAAGGGTCTTCCAAAATAACATGAAAAATTCAATGACACATCGTCAAATAACAAAAAAACCAAGCCTTCATTAATCTAAAGAAAGCTCGTCATACTCTTAATTGCTCCTCACTTCTCGGACGAGTTGGGTCCCCTCTTCTTTCCGAATCCAACCACTACAATAAATAAATAAATAAATAAACCCAAAAACAAAAACTTAATCAAAATCCAAAAAACAGAAGCACCGTAAATAGAATAAATTTTCAAATTCCAGAAAACCCTAAAAACAATTTATGATGATATGAAAGAGTTGATAAACTTACCGGCGGTGACGAATCGACGGTTGTATTGCATGCGCTTGTGGGCGCGTCCTCTGGGCTTCTTCTTCTTGTCTTGCTTAGCGACTTTGGGAGTTTGTCCTCTCACCTTACCGGCACGAGCCAGAGATCCGTGAACCTTACCTGTAGGAAAAAAATCCCAAAAAAATAAAAGAATTGAATTAACGCTTGATAGAAGCAATCGAGAGAAGATCCAAGGCCAAGAAGCTTAAAGCTTTACCCATGGCGGATTTCCTAGCGTTCTTCGGCTGCGAATCTCCTTTGCTTGCCGCGAGCTTACACTGGCCTGTTGCGCTGAGGACGAGAAATTTAGGGTTAGGGTTTAGGAAGACTATATATAGGAAAAGGATGATTGGAATGGGCTGGTGTTCGGATCCAAGCCCGCAATTGTCATTGGCCCAATAATAGGAGAGCCCTTGTAAGGCCCTTGTGAGTTCAGGCTCATATTCCATCTTACTTACCGGCCCGTCCAATCTATTTTAGAGAAAATGCAGCAAATAACACTTTTCATGATTATGTTTGAAATACGTAACACATTTATAAGACATTGGAATATTAAGGCTTCTGTTTTTACTTTTTCACCGTCAACATTAATTTTCTCTTTCCTTATCTCTTTGTGTCATATCTAGACTCTCTCTCCTCCACGTTGGAGATCGTCATGGAGGTTGTGACGGCGAGAACAAAGCTCCGTGGTGATTTTCTCGCCTTTGTCGCAAATCGGCGCCGGGAAGGAGATTTTGCCAGGAAGTCATAGAGCTGGTTCCGTTGGTCGTCGGCACTAGTTATGGTGGACTTTACTAGAGTGGGGAAGGAGAGGGTTTAAGGGTATTTTGAGGTTTTTAATAATGCTTGAAATTGAAGATATTAAATTATACTATAAACTTCATGTTTTAAAAAATTGTGCTATAATTTACTATTCATTATATTAATTATGCCATTTCACTTATTCTCCTTCTATTGTATGTTCCTCTTTCATTAAGAGTGAATGAGGAAATAGAGAAATAGAGGGGTAATTTAAAATTTATAACATATATCGATTTTAAATTTAGTAAATGTCATAAAATTTTAAAATAGATTAATTTTAGTCTTATTAGAGAAGATTCTATATGATTTTAAATTTAGTAAATGTCATAAAATTTTAAACTAGATTAATTTTAGTCTTATTAGAGAAGATTCTATATAGTTATTATTATTATTATTATTATTATTATTATTATCACTATTACTATTATTACTACTATTACTACTATTATTATTATTATTGTTATTTTTTAAAGATGAGAGTCTTTATGGTAAAACGTGTTATTTTATTTCATCTGGAAGAATTATATTTTTACTTTTTAATTAATTTTTTAACAATTAAATTTATAACAAAAACAATTTTATATAATACATTATAAATTTTTAATATAAATCATACAGTTCTAATTATTTAAAAAACTAATATAATAATTAAAAGTATTATTCTAGATAACATGCTTTGCCTTAAATATTCCCTTTGAAGATGCACACAAATCAGTCTAGTCTAGTTCTAATTCTATAGACAAATCAGATTCGGGCCATGGACGTTAAACGCGTGGAATCATGCCACAAGAATTTGAGCGCAAAAAAGAAAAAAATCTGAGATTCTTAAAACACGTGTCTATTAACAGGAACGACTTAAAAAACAATACAGCACAAGCACTTTCTCCGCAACACATTATATAAATCCCAAATTAGGGTTTTTAACCGCCAACCCAAGAAAAAGCTAAAATTTCCCCATCCGAACCAAGAGAGCTCAACAATGGCAGACGATTCCACGCCGCCGACGGCGCAACTTTCTCAAACGACCTTAAACGACGCCGTTTCCAGCTCCGATTCCCTCAGAGCCGAGTTCTCCGACCGCGTCCCAATCCGATCCATCCTTTCCCGACCCGACGGCGGCGCCGGACTCGCCGGGAACCGAGTCCGGGTAGGCGGGTGGGTTAAGACCGGTCGGAAGGCGGACAAGGACGCCTTCGCGTTCTTGGAGCTCAACGACGGGTCCTGCCCGGGGAATTTGCAGGTGATTGTGGAGGCCGACAAGGCTGACCTCGGGCAGCTTGTTCCCACCGGTACCTGCGTCGCCGTCGACGGAGTTCTAAAGCTGCCTCCGGCGGGGACCAAGCAGAAGGTGGAGCTTCGAGTGGAGAAGGTGGTCCATGTGGGCCCGGTTGATCCGGCGAAGTATCCCTTGCCGAAGACCAGGCTCACGCTTGAGTTCCTCAGGGACTTTGTTCATCTTCGTCCGAGAACCAATACGGTAAAGTTTCTATCTTTTTCTTTCATTGTTTTTCCGATTAGTGTCGTTTGTCTAATTAGGGGAATTTGGTTGAGCATTTTATTGATTGTCAAAGGATAAGTAAGGGAATGTTGTGATGGAACGATTATGAAATGCAATTATGATATTGAGTAAACTTTATTTCTGCTGTTATTTGCATGTTTGTGAAAAAAAGTTTCGTGAAACCCGAAGTGAAAAAGTTGCAGTTTTTGGCCCACCATTCACCAATGTGGAAATTCATAGTGCGTGGTATTGGTTTTTTGAATAAGATGCGTGAAGGAATGGTTTGATGGGTTGGTTTTAGAATTCAATAAAAGATTATTCTGCTTTATGTGTTTCATTTTTTGTACATATTTTCAGATTTCTGCTGTTGCTCGAATCAGAAATGCGCTTGCATATGCTACCCACACGTTCTTCCAAAAGCACGGCTTTCTTTATGTGCACACTCCAATTATAACCACAAGTGATTGTGAGGGTGCTGGTGAAATGTTTCAAGTGACAACTTTGATTAGTGAGGCTGAAAGGTTGGAGAAGGATCTTATTAAGAATCCTCCTCCGACAGAGTCGGACTTAGAAGCTGCTAGGCTTGTTGTCAAGGAGAAGGGAGATTTTGTTTCCCAGCTGAAATCAGCTAAAGCAAGTAAACAGGAAATTGGTGCTTCTGTGGCTGAACTTAAAAAAGCAAAGGAGAATCTTGCAAAGCTGGAGGAGAGGTCTAAGCTTAAGCCGGGAATTCCCCAAAAGGACGGGAAGATTGATTATACCCAAGATTTCTTTGCTCGTCAAGCCTTTTTGACAGTTTCTGGCCAATTACAAGTTGAATCTTTTGTGTGTTCTCTTAGTAGCGTCTATACATTTGGACCTACTTTTCGTGCTGAGAACTCTCACACCTCGAGGCATTTGGCAGAATTCTGGATGGTGGAGCCTGAAATAGCTTTTGCAGAACTGGAGGTATATGAAGCTTAAATCTAGTGCAGTTTTTAATATACAACATAATCGTGCGGTCTAGTTCGTTGATGTTATGTCGGGTACTCCTTTTTACTTTTTAGTCACGTCTCCTCGCAATTTCTTCAATAAACCAACTCTTAAGGATTTGGAGGTATATATATTAGGTTTGAATTTGGAGGTATATATATTAGGTTTGAATTTAGTGAAAACGTTTATTTTAAGATGTGTTTGTAAACAAGTAGAATATTTTCCCACCTTATTCTCTTGTAATTTCCACACATTGATGCCTTTTCAACGTTCTTTGTAAAAATTCTGGACATTTTATTTGCCTTGTAGTTCAAGTATCTTGCAGCCTCTTAGCAATGGGGTGTCTTTTATGTAATTGATTTATCCTTGGCCCCAGTTATATTCTTCCTTTATTCACTTACATGTAGCTTCTGTTAGTGGCCTTTGTTTAAAGTATCATTAGTTGTTATGGAAACTTTTGAGCAAATGATGCCAACTTTCTTTCAAAATGCTTAGGTATAAATGTTTCACCAGAATATACTCTAGTCTAGCCCTAACATTATTTATAGTGCCTGCGCATTTCTGTATAATTGAAACATGGTGCTGCTAGATGGGACCTAAATGTTTTCATAGCTGTGCAGGATGATATGAAATGTGCAGAGGCATATGTGAGATTTTTATGTCAGTGGTTGCTCGACAATTGCTACGACGATATGGAATTTATGGCTGACAAATTTGATAAGGGTTGCATCAACCGGCTTAAATTGGTTTCTTCAACCCCTTTTGAGCGGATAACATATACCAAAGCAGTAGAACTGCTGGAGGAGGCTGTTAAGAACGGAAAAGTGTTTGAGAATAAAGTAGAGTGGGGTATTGATTTGGCATCTGAGCACGAGAGGTTTGCACATTTTCTTTGCTCTTTTTGAACTTGCAATTCTTAGTTATTTGTACTGGTTTCCGATTTCTTTGTTGTCTAATTGTACAGATACCTGACGGAGGTTATGTTCCAAAAGCCTGTTATAGTATATAATTATCCAAAAGGAATTAAAGCATTTTACATGAGGCTGAACGATGATGGCAAGACAGTGGCTGCTATGGATGTCCTTGTACCAAAGGTAGGCTGTTTTTTCTTGTACATTTCTACAATGCATCACACAGAGTTCAACCATTTACTCAGCGTAATCATAGAAGGGATTTTTGGCCGCATATATATTGATGTACATTGTATTCCAGGTTGGGGAGTTGATAGGAGGAAGTCAAAGGGAGGAACGTTATGATGTCATTCAAAGCAGGTATGAGAAAACATTTTCCTTTTTGTATTCCGATAATACGCATGTATTTCTTCATTTTTGTTTTGTTCTACACTTCTTTTCGTTTGAATTTTTCTGTTATGTATCTGTGCTCTCACAATAGATTTTTTCCTCTCTTTTTCCAACTATTAGTAAATTGATGCGACACATTCTATTGTTACAGAATCCAGGAGATGGGGCTGCCCACCGAGCCATACGAGTGGTACCTTGACTTGCGTCGCTATGGGACAGTGAAACATAGCGGCTTTGGTTTAGGATTCGAGAGAATGATTCTCTTTGCCACTGGCATTGACAACATTAGAGATGTTATTCCCTTCCCCAGATACCCTGGGAGAGCAGATCTTTGATTGTAGTTTCACAAGAAGTTTGTGTCTTTTGTCATTGGATTTCAAAGCAAAATTGTCCCCTGGTGTCATATTCTAATTTTATTTATAGCATCATATACCTCATTTTTTGATCCAAACGAAGCTGAATTAAGAAATTGTTTGATCTACATTGTTCTTTTCTTCTTGGAGCCCTACGTTTGTCTTGTCATGCCTTTGGATGTTCTTTCGAGCATATTGCCTGTTCTTGCAGTTATTGTATTAGTCAAATTGAAAGTCTGTCGTAGACATGCATAAACCTACTTTCTTGAATTTCGAAGATGTTATAGAATTTCCAAGTCTTCGTTCACTTTCTTTGGTCATTTTGTTATAAAGATGTCACAGTTTTTCTGTGTTGCTGGTGAAAACCTTGTCTGCTGCACTTAATTTTTGAACAAGGGTCTTAGGTCTTACTAAAAAAAAAATGAAGAAAGAAAATGGGATAGCAGAGATATACTTTTGAACCATGGGAAGGAATATAAAGAGGAGTTCTTTAATCTCCTTTCTCCTCAATTGGTGGAAGTAACACACGTCTTTTCTTATTTTCCATGGAAGAATAATCTTCATTTTTTAAATTGTCGTGGTGGTTGTTTGTTTTAGGAACGTAAATCACGATTAAAATAATAACAAAAAAGAGTGGTTTCACAATTAGCCATTTAAATTTTTAGTTAAAGTTGATAATTAATATTTTTCTTTTAGATTCAATAATACTTTTAGGAGCCTCAATCGTGAGACCCTTTAAAAAAATAAATGCTCTGTTCATCTTACTGATTTGAGATTGACTACAGTAAAAATTTTCAAAAATAATTACATTTAATTTTTTTGTTACAGTAATAAATTTTCACATAAAGTTATATCTCAACTTAAATTAAAAATTTGAATCAGCAAACTAAACGGGTCTAAAATTACTAGTAGAACACTCAATTTGATTGTTAGATTAAGTTTTTAATAGTTAAATTTGCGTAAGTCTCTACTAAAATTTTATAGCACGCTGCACAATACTCTACAAATTTGACTGTTAAAAAATTAATTCAACCGTCAAAACAAAATGTTTCACTGATGAATTTTTTAAAGGGTGTCACCATAGAGTGAGCCAATACTTTTTGTGCCAAAAAAAACCACATAATAAAAGTCTTGTTCATTTCACCGATTCGAGTTTTCAGTTCTAGATTTTTACAGTTAAAAGCTCTCTGAAAATATTACATCTAATTTTTTTTTTGCTACAATAAAAAGCTCTAAGAAATGTCACATTTCAACTTGAATTCAATATTTGAATCCGCGAAGTGAACGAGACTAAAGTATTGCTATCAAATTCATTATGAACTTTGAACATTAATAAATTTACAACCAAATAAATAAGAAATTTGACTCTAATTTGAAGGTGGAAGGCAGATGTGAGTGAGACGGTGTCGTCTCATTATCATAAGAGATCCAATTTGGCTTCTCCACAGGACAAAGAAAAAAAAAAAAAAAAGGGAGAGAAAACAAGCGCGTAAAGAAGGCGATGAAGAAGCTGGCTAGAAAATGGAGAAAATCTCCAGAAGATGATCTCTCTCTCCCAACTAGAGACGATAATCGCCCTATCGACACCCAAGGTTTTCATTTATTTGTTTATTTATTTAGTTCCTTTTTAATTAATGTTTGGTTGCTGGGAAATAAGGGTAGAATAGAAATATCTGATTTTGTTGACATTTTCTTATGCTTTTTTTAAAAAAAATTTTAAATCTGGGTATTGTGCTAAAGCCTGAATCTTTTGATTTAGTGAGGCCAATGAATGAATCTCTGATAAGAAAAACTGAGAGGGAAACTAAAATAAAGAAATCTCCTTTGTTAGTACAGAAGCAAAAAGGCGGTCTTCTTTTTCTTTTTTTAATAATTGGGTAATGTGTGATTTACTTACAGAACAAGAGGAATTGGTTCGTTCGTACGAAAGAAGGCAAGCTCAACAGAGTCGTTTGTGGAGGGTATATTTGATTCTATTTGATTTAGGTACTCTTTTTCTTTCTCTCATATTTTAAACAGTAAATTGATTTTTTTTTTTTTGGGGGTGTTCTATCATCTATGTAGAGTGTGTTTGCTGTGCTTCTCTTCTGTTTTGCGGTTTTGCTTGTATACTCCATCTTTCAGCAGGTTTCATCTCCATGGGAACTGGTAATCTTTACTTCCACCTTATGATAAATTAACATATTTATGCAGTATTTGGAAGTTGGAACAGTTAATGAATAAATGTTTGTTTCGTTAGAAGCAACAGTTTGATGAATATATTCGCTTCCTTATCATTGGTGTGAAAACAGTTTGATGAAAAAATTCGCTTCCTTATCAGTAGTGTGGTGGAACTATCATGTTTCTACCATTGATGGCATTTAGAAATTAGAACTAGTTAATACCTCGTTTTTTCCTTTTTACTAGGGTGTGTTTACTTCAAACGAAGAAAGAGGAATATTTCTTTACTTTCCCTTTTAAATCATGTGTTTACTTACTAAATTAGGAATGATAGTTTGGGAATGGAAAAGGGAACTCAAAATTAGGAATGGATGCTAAATTTATTTACGTACCCTTAATTGTTATAGCCAATGGTTATTTGATAGTATAAAAAGTAGCAACTTCATAGTAAAGACTAGAAAGGGCCATTTTATTTTCCGATAGGTATGTAAATTCCCTTTCCAAACTCATTGCCTTTCCCATCACATTCCATCACAATTTTGTATATATGCCCTAGATCCTGTGGGATTTATTGCGGAGAGTCAGGAATATTTTGTTTCAAAATGTAAATGAATACAAAAATATTTAATAGTGAATACTGAATAGCAAACATTTCTTCCCTTTTTTTTTTTCCCCTTATAGAGTCCTAGCTGCTTAGCTATGTAGCGTCCTGCAAATTTGTCCCTCAAATACTACCATAAATCTTCTGTTGTATAGAATTGTAAAATTTTGATGCGCAAGTATTACAATTAGAATGTCAGTTATGTTTTTTCGGATAATAACATATTTGCTTAATTGATTTTACCTGATGCTGTCAATTGATACACAGCGTTATCATGCTTACTTCATGGAGGAGGTGGACTCATGGATGATTATATGTGCAGGTAATTTTTTTTTTTACCTTGATACTTAATTCCCATCTGTTTCCATTTATCACCGGCTCATTGCACAATGCTTGTGATTTGGCAATAGTCCTTTTGTAGCATTAAGTGTAAAGTGCTCAACAAACTCTAATTAAATAGTTATGCGAAGCTGTTTCAGCTCTGATTCTTGACTAATTAAATTAAAATTGTTATCAGATTGGGTGGCTGTTGTAGCATGTTCATTGTCCATCGTGGGTCTGCTTCATGACTCGAGGTATCGCAAGCGACGGATCTGGTATTCATGCTTTATTGGCATGATGCTTGCAGTTTTTTGGCTATATTACATGTTGAGGTATGTGAACTTCTTGCAGAGACCTCTATCATTTCTGACAGAAAGAAACGATCCATGATTCATATGAATTGAATAGTTATTACTGACATTATTCTTGTAGATTGCCAAGGTTCCGATGGGATGTAATTTGGCTTCCGTTTGGACCTCTTAGGTACATTATAAATTTATTTGTATCTTTATGTTGTGCGTCTAAATTTTGGAGCCATAAACACTCACATGTACAAATTGGACTTGCAGTGGAGCTGGAATCTCCTTGTATGTGGATCATTTACTTGATGAATCATCGGAAGAAATAAGAAAACTTAGGGGATACATGTATGCTTTCAAGGCCAGATAAAAGTTCCTTTCCAGACCAATCTTCATTCGTCTTTCAAAGTTCATTTGAGACATATTACGGAACTAATTCGAAATAGCAGGCAAATGCGATCGGTACTAGAGGTAAAGGGCATGCTGCAAAGGACTCAATTGGGCGTGGCCGTAGTTACTTGACTCTCCAGTTCGTTTGGAGGCAATTTTTGTAGTCGGGACGGCTGTTCTTCTGTAAACCATATGTTTAAAAGTTTGATTGGATACGTAAATGACATAATTAATTTGTTCGAATAGCAGTATTATAAGATCGCTTTATTTTTTACCAGTTGGTTGAATCATTTTTTTTGGGGACAATTTAGTTAATTAAGTATTTGTAATCTTGTAAAATGAGATACAGATGTAGAGTATGATGAGAAATGTAAAGGGTTGGAAAATAAAAGTGAAGGAATGAGAATTGCCAGGTGTTTGAAATAAGAAGTAAACACACAAGAATGTTGATTTAGGAAACAATCCAATTTTTCTAGTGCTTTTTGGTGAGCTTTTACCGATTATTGAACTTAGAAATTAAGAAATAATCCAATTCTTTTCAGGTTTCATTTAAGAATCCAATTCTTTCCGGCTGTGATTACTAATATGTTCATTAATAAAATCAAATAATCATTTGCATATAACAGATAAACTTAAAGAAGGGTATTTGAATTTTTAATTTGAATTAAGATAATATCTTTATGTAAAAATTTTTTATTGTAATAAAAAAATTATATGTGATTGTTTTTAAAATTTTTTTACTGCAATAAAATTTAAATTTTAAATTCAAATCGGTAAAATCAACGAAATTTAAATTTAACATTCAACTCCCTTTAACTAATAATCACTACCAAAGAGGTTTAAAGATTGACATTACCATTTTCAGTTGTGTAAGCAAATTAAAAAGAATTCCATGTGAAGTAAAAGCGTCTTTTATCATTTGGAGATTCATATCCCAAAATATGACCAAAGTGAAAGACTAGGATTACTCTCCAAAGCACTGCCTAGTAACGGTCCTAAAAAAATATGCAATCAAAGCTGGTCGAGGGTGTCTAACAAAATCTCATTAAACCGTAAGGTGAAACAAGTAAAACTCCCAAAGCAAAATTCATGATAAAAACACAATAATCCAAAACACATGAAAGAGCCAGTCTTCTTCACAATGTCTTATAACTCTCTAAAGCTATAGGCAAAAAGCTCAAGTAATTCTTTTACTGCCTATTGAGGACGTCTACTTAAAAAACAGGACATAAATAAATTATTCTTCTTCAATGACCTTGGTGCCCAACCCCTTCAGTCCTTCTGTTGGGATCTCCGCAACAGTAACAAGAGAGTATAGCTCTTCCTTGGCATCTTCATCATCGTTTCTCTTGCGAGCAATGCGAACCCTAATCCTTCTGGGGACACTCCTGATACCTCTGCTCCAGATTTGCTTGTTCAGCTTCACATCGACTCTCACATCATTTGTCCCCATCGCCTTCTGGGCAAACTTCCTGATCTCCTTAATGGCATTGGGAGCCTTCTTCTTGAAAGTACTATTTTTTTTTTTCAAAATAACAAACATAAGTTATTTGCGATGTCATCATAATAATACAAACCAAAAAATGATTCTGAATATGAAAAATTTTTGGCCTATCACATACTAAAGTCACACAGATACGTAAATAATACATGATTCACAACTGTCCATCTCAAATCCAATTCTAGAGCTGTAGCATTGAAGCAATACCACTACAAGCACAACCGTCACTTAACTTTCTGAATGACATTTACGCACTCTCTAAATGAAATTTACAAAAACAACCATCACTTCATCTCAACATACAAAGTACAAAAATCAAACCCATCATAATCTCTCTCGTTTTGATATGATTAATCCCACCCAAGCCACATTTTGTTAATCAACGATCACATGCACAGCTTCATAATTTAACACATAAAAACAACTCTGATTACATGACTTCCAATATATACAGCCCTAACTAAATGAGGAAAATGTGTCACAAATCCCAAAACAGAAAACCCATTTAAGAATAAATATCCTGACAACCATTTCATAGCAAGCGGACAGTCGGACAACATCTAGTATCTAGCAAAAATCCATAAAGCCCCAAAACCTTTCAACAATTACAAGAAGCTAAAAATATTATGTCTTCAATCAACCATCCTACATCTCACTAAATAAAATATGAAATACACGAAAAACGCATTAAACAAAAAATACAAACAATAATAATATCAAAGGGGCTTTAAAATAAATGACTTTATTAAGGTTTTACCATCCGTGCAGGCGCTTGTGGAGGTTGATGGTGTACTCCCGAGTGACAACCTCCTCCTTCCTTCCCTTGGTCTTCTCCACCATTTTCTCGCCCTCTTCCTTTCAAACTACCTGCACCAATCACAGTTACCCACTCGTTATAATCCAATACCCAGAACCTAATGGATCTGAATTTGTCAAAACATTCGCTCTTTTTCTCCTTTAAAATTTCTTTTGCGGCCAAGCTTAATGTTTTCGACACAATATCTAGATCATCGACGAAAATGAGTCGCCATTACTCCAAATTGGAAGCAAAAAACAGGAATCGAAAGACAAAAAGGATTGTTTTCGATTTCTTTTCCTGGATTTTCTTGGCTCCCGAACTGGCGGCCGATGAAGGGGGGAGAGAGAGAGAGAGAGAGAGAGAGAGCAGACCTTAGGGTTTGTGGGATACAGAAAGAGGCAACGGAGGAAATGAGAGTTGGTCTAAAAAAGAAGCTCAAAACCCTAGTTCGCACATCGTAGTAAAGCATTTTATAGCGGGATGTTTTCGATCCGAGCGACGACGTCGTTTTCTGTACTTCTACGTCATCTCGTTTTATACCAGAATAAAACGGAACGAAAACAAATTACTGAACGACATCTCGTTTTTGACATTTAAACGAGAGCAGAAACGTTAAAGATCTCCTCGACGGGGGAAAAAAAAAAATCTCCTCTTTTGTTATTGTTTACGGTGTTTTTCTGATAACTCGTGATTACCTCTTCGAAAATGCTCACGGTAGCACTAATCACAGAATCAAGTAATAAGCAGTAAAGTAATGTAGAAGAGACAAGGATTTTATAGTGGTTCGGCAATAATTTCGTGCCTAATCCACTTGTGCATGCACTATTTTTCCAGATGTTTACAAATTCTCTCTGTAGTATCAATAGTGTCTAAACCCTTTCTGGGTTTCTTTCTTTCCATTTATAGGCCTCTACCCGGATTACACATTCCCGGCTCCCAAGGAGGAAGCCATTATCTGTTCTTGATCCCCGTGAAGGTAGGTGAGTTTTCATGATGACTTTTCCTGGAAATACGGCTGACCCTCTCAACCTGCCATCTGACTTCCTGACTTTTGCAGTAGCAGTCGGATCAGTACTTCCCTCCTCGGGTTGACATGACCCTGGGCAAAAAGGACCGACAATGTTCCCTCGACGCCGCGGTCTCAGTATGTAGAGCCCTTGCCCGGCGCCTCTCCTCTTGCGCTATCTCTCGACGTATAGGGCACGTTTGCCTGGCCTTACTCTCGATGCCAACAACTGATCCTCCGCGCGGGAGTCTTCGGCGTCGGTCGTTCGAAGGAATGGTCGATGTTTCGACTGTGGTGTAATAGTTATATAAAACGACAGCAGACTTTAAGCGACAAATGTCATGCCGTGTCTTGTATAAACAACAGAAAAGGTAAATGACGTGTCGTTTTTAAACAGGCTGTAGAAAATTTTAAGCGACAAAATAAAGAGTCGTTTTTCTTTTGGACAACAATAAACATTTAAACGGCAAAGGATACCTTGTTTTCCAGCTTAATCGATGCAGTGAGCGTTTAAGAACCATATATAAGTCTCAAATCATGGGAGCAAGAAAAATTTACGCGAAAAAAGACCAGTAGGTTTTTGACTTTTTTTTCTCTATTAAACGGCATTGTCGTATTGAAATATAGCAAATTCTAATCCCTAAACTACATGTTTATACTTGAACGACAATTAGTAACAAATGATATGTCGTTTTCGAAATTTAAACGATGCAGTAAAAGCTAACAGGACCATAAACCCAAATCCTCTCTAATTCCTCCAGCATATGACTCGAGAACTATCTGCTTTCTAATAGGGAGACCCATTCGTATTACACCTTTCTCTCACTAGTGCCTTTGTAATAACCCATTCGTATTACACCTTTCTTATATTTACAGGGGAAGAAGCAATAACGATTATAGTAAAAAAGTTTCTTTTTAAAAATTATTATTTTAATTATTAAGCAAGTTGTTCCTTCAGCATTTGCTTTAATCTGGTTAATCAAACAAAATATAAGACTAATATGTCAGGAACCGTCTTTGCTGGCTTCCTTCAAGAGAGAATACCGCAAAAATTAATAATCCGTTTAGTTCGCTAATTTAAATTTTTAATTCGAGTTGAGATGTGACTTTATGTGAAACTTTTTATTATAACAAAAAAATTAAATGCGACTGTTTCTAAAACATTTTACTATAATAAAACTTAAATTCTAAACTCGAATCGATAAAAAGAACGAGACCTACGATTTAGAATTCTGCAATTCCAATGTCTTCTTCAAGCAGCTTTATTTTTACAGTGAGATTAAAGACGACGGAAATTATTTATGATTCATCATCATTCAGTGTGCACGTCCAAAACACGTATTGCATCAACAGAATTTTTGAGTCTTTCTTTATACTCTTTCATTCAAGTCTGAACTACTTTGTTAACCATTCGAGTAACAACATACAAAAGTTCCACCGTAACTGGTTGTTCTGAAAGAGTAAAATTCCCAAAAGGGAGCAATGGATCTTGAAGATGAAAATCATATACAACATACAATCATGTAATGGTAATTTATTCCAATGACGATGATTTTTCTCTTGTTCTTCTTTTTGGTGTTTTTCTATCTACCCCTCCTATATTTATTACCTTCTAAAGGGAATTCATCTGTCATGAAGTTAAGATACCTCTCATTCACATCTAAGAAATGCTGTAGAAATCCGTCCTAATTTGTGCCGTCGTGGTCAACCTTTATGCTGCTTACTTTCCAAGTATTAGATTATATGAATGAAATCTCGGCAAAGAAAATGTCTCCTAGGATTTCCGGATACTTTGTGAACACCTCCGCAAGCTGAGGAACAAAACTGTCAGCCCAGCGAGACCAGCTAATATCTGCAACAACCAGTAAAACTTTTTATAGGAATAGTGAAGAAAATCTGGATAATTCAAGAACAGATTTGAGCAGGGGTTAAAGAAACCAAAATGGGTTGCAATCTGCAACCCTTTATGCTTGGATGCGCAGAAAAGGCAAATTAGATGATACTGACCTTGGCCTCTCTGCCATAAGTGCTCAGCGTAGATTGAAAAAATGATGTTAGTGATTTAAGACGAGATTTCCGGGGCATTAAAATAACAGCCGTGTACTGTTTCGTGCAAGGAAAAGGCATAATTCTTTGTAATGCTAACTGTGCTGTTGATGGTGTCAGAGATTTTCTGACTTTGGAGCGGGCTTCATCTTGAATCTGCACAGAGAGAACTGTCGTTTAGATATTCATTACTCTTGAATAGATGTCTAGAATGAACTGATTCTTGTGTAAACTCAAGAAAAGAACAATAGTTCAATGATGAAAAGGCATAAAACTACATCAAAATTCTTGTGTAAAACAGGAAATTAAACCCAGTACAGAATGCATACTATATGCAGTAAATTAGACGGAAGCCTCATATGAGAGTTTTTTTTTTTTTTTATTTAAATAAAAAAAGCAATCAATGTATAAGGAAGAAGAAAATTTTAACAAGGAAAAGAGAGGGTGAGTTGACATGAGGGTGGTAGACAAGAACACTTCAGAATCAACCTTGAAAGAAGCACCAAGATCACCGGAATAGACCCTTGATTGGTAGCCGCGTAAAATCCTGTCCAGCCACCAATAATTCTCCTGAAAGAACATAAAAGAATCACACCAGAAACAGTGGCGTAGACCTGTATTCTCTTCACACATTCAATCAACTCAACAATACTTTTACTATGGATGCTGTCAAGGACAATCGTACAAAGTTGCAGTTCAAGATTGTTTTTGGCAACCAAATGAACTCCAATTTACAAAATCAAAATACAATTTTCTGTAATAAAGTTAACCTGAAGGCCATTTTCATGGGCTCTTTGCTCAATTTCAAGAATGGTTGAAATATCCTCATCCGAGGGTCCTTCCTCTTGAAGACGTAAAAGTTCATCCAAAGTAAGATCAACCTATTACAAACATGCACAGTAATGAGGCGATATGAATAGGAACTTCATCATTTAAACAAAAAATGAGAAAATGGGAACTGTAGGACCATAAAACACCTACCAGCTTTGATGCAATTTCTGGATCACAAGAGAAATTTATGCTGATATCACCGCGAACATCACCAGTTCTTGAAGGCTTATTACCACCAAGGAATACTGAAACACCTGCAGTATAAATCTGCAATAAAGAGAAGGTAAACTGTACAGATGAGCAGAACAATCATAAATAAAATAAAGTGGAGGAACACATACCTGTCCATGCTTGAAACGTAAAACTTGCATTATTTTTGTCTCAATAAGTCGGCTTAGAAACCCAACAAAGTGAATCTCTTCTACCTGCCATATGAATTTTCCACCCAACAGAAAAACGGATAATGGATGATCAGTAAAACAGAACACATGAAAGGCCTAATCATGATCTAAATGGATGAATTGAAGAAGCACACCATGGCTCCAGTCTTAAGTTCTACAGGAAAGCATAGCTGGACTGAACATTGTGCTTCCACCATAGGGCTATAAACTGATTCCCTACAAGCACATCCAATGTGTGAAAGATAATTCAAACCGCCCAAAAAAATGTGTGGACGCATTAACATTTCACTAACATTAAAAGTAGAATTGTACAGAGTAATTGCATTCAATCCACCAAGAGAGGTTGAATGATGTAAATAATTGTGTTCCAATAGCAATAAAAGATCGCAGTTCTCTTTTAGTAAATATATATGTCTATGCGTGTTTCTGTATAAAAAGCAATCCAGTTTGATCAGATGGTACAACTGAATTGCAAAACCATCCTATATTACATTGTAACTGTCGCGTGAAGCACCATTAATACAGGACAAGGATAAAGTATAAACTGCATGTCCACGTGTTTAAGAAATGCTTACCTAATTATGGTTCTAGGAAATGTGAATGGCAGTCCTTTGAGGTCATCACGATTGAAATGGAGAACAGGTTCGGGAGGCATAGGCATTCCACCCTGTATGGCAAATCACAAAACCAGTTAATATTGTAAAAGTCTCCAGGCCAATGTGGAATAAAAATGAATTCTACTTACCAAATACTGCAGTATTAGAGGTACGGCTATAGTAGGATTAATATTTCCAACAATAACAACGGTGAAAGATGAGGGGTCCTTGAAACAATTGTTGAAATAGTCACACGCTTTAAGTGGATCAACTTTTTGAAGGTCACTTATTCTGATAGGCTGCAGAATTATATATTAATAAGAGGTTACAAGCAGAACATATCTAATAAAAGAAACCTTAGTTGATGTATCTTAGGAATCAGGGAATACCCTAAAGAAATAGGACTTTCCATAGTTGAGCTCCTTTACACGGTTTGCAAATACAGTGTAGGGATCCCTCTCTTGAGCATGAACTGCTTCTTCTGACATTTGCATTACTAATTTCACAACTTCATCTCCTGGTGTTACATTTGTTGTAAATAGTTGGTAGACAAGCTGCGAGAACGAACATAATAGAAGACATGCAGCTTGAAAACATTTAAAGAGTTGAAGCAGCATAAAAATTAAAAAATAAGGTCACATGTGAGATTATAAAATCACTGGCCCAGATGAAACTTGCAATAGAACAAGTGTAGGGGGTGCATACCTGCAATGCAGTTTCCAGGTCTGAGGGCGAACAATCAGCAGAAAATGTTCTCATATATGCTCCAATCGTATTACCAACTTCAGCTCTCTTACCAGCAAGCATGTCCATTAGTACTGATGGTCTGTAACCATACACACCAATTTCTTCAGCAATGGTTTGCCCCATTGAGCAAGAAAAGTAATCGCTTTCAGGGAGTTCGGATAAACTCCCATAAGAGAACCCAGTAAACATAACCTGTTGAATCAAAGTATGGATAATAATTACACTGGCACATAAAATCAGCCTGAGATAGTTACTCATTTAATCTAGACCAAAGATCAAGTTTATTTGTACGGAAAGTAAATAGATTATTGCTTAAATAAGGGAATAAAAAGTCTTGCGATGGCTTCTTCTCCATTTGGTTCTAGCTATTTGTTAAAGAGTTATTCTTTCTAGGTTGTTTTTTGTATTTTGTTTTTTTAATAAAGTACGTGCATTTCAGCCAGCAATTTTGGGAAGGACAGAGAGATAATTATAGCCAAAATTGCCTCCAGCATCATGCAAGATTTTACTTTAAGACAAAAAGAAAAGAATAGAGGAATAAGGCATAGGATGCAAGATGGCTACGAGGATCATCAGTCTTGCAACTAAAGCCTAACTCCAACCGAGCAAAAACAGAATGGAAAGCAAAAGACAAAGCAAAAGCTAACTTTAGAATTGAATACCTGGTCATTAAGAAAATCTGTACATTTGTAGCAAACTCTCATGCCATTCGATAAAAATAATTCAGTAGCTCCAATATTTGAATATTCAAACTGCTGCACAATATACCTGAGGCAAATTATTTGATAAAAGAGCGAATTATACAATCATACAAGAACAAGAAGTTCACAACATATATTTTTACACCTTAATAGCAAGAAAATAGACTCAGTTGGCAATGACTTCACGAAACTACATCAGTAATTTAACTACTTAATAGCATGTACATAAAAGTTATCGTGGAGAGAGAGAGAGAGAGAGAGCAGGGCAAGGATCATGTATTGATTTTAAAAAACACCTATCTTTGTTAAAATTGTTAAAGGCAGGCTACCTTCTTGCTTCAGAAGAAATTTAAAGTGTATCACAACTATGTAAACCCTAAACACACACACACACAAAAGGGGGGTTTAACAGTTCCACTAAAGAAGCAGGCACCTAATAATTGGAAAATGGATAGCAGTGAGACTCACACAAGTGAATTTAGAAAAATGACTAGCGCAGGTCCAAAACAGAAATAATAATAATTAGCAGCAAAGTTAAAAATTGACAAGTGTTCCTCCATTACCCTGGATTTGGTTTCACAGTAACAATTTCTTCTGGAATTTGGTCTTCATCCCATGGGAGAATGTTTTTTTCTTTCTCAAGAGCATTTATCTTTGATACAACATTTTTAAGATCATCTACTACTGCAGAAGCTCGTGGCTCAATTGTCTTAATGACACTACACGACGTTCGTAGCTTCTCCGCATATTTGGATAGATCTGATGCTGAGATTTCTATAGATGCAAAAAGACCAAAATTAGAACACTCATATTTACAAATATGTAGTATTAATCTGAATATGCTTTAACATTTCAGCTGTTACAAAATTATCTTAGGAAATGTATGACAACTCACGAGGAAGAAGAGTCTTCTGTAGTTGAGCTTCATACTCAATCCCAATTACAGGCTCATCGCGCAGAAAATGCTGCCAAAAGAAATTAGAAATATTATTGTTTCTAAATAAGTGATAAGAGAAAAGTAGCGAATTTATAACTCAAGATATACTTGTAAATATTCATCTCGCAAACTTGTTGATTGCATTTGATCTCGCTCCAAATAGGCAGATTCAATCTCTGACATCAGTTGAGCTCGAACAATAGATACTTCACGATCTGAAAATCCATGTAGCCGTACTCTTGCAATCTGACACATAGGTGTCAGTAAAAATAAAAGAGTAGCTTAAAATAGAAAAAAGAAGAAGGTACAGTTATCGTCGCGAATAAAGAGTACCTCAATCAACATTGATTCTAGGGCTTTGATTGTCCCTTTTTCTTTGCAAGATGACGTCATTAGATAAGCCTTTAATGGATCAACAAGAATGTCTGTAGAAGCCGAGCATGAGAAATAGGGTGGATCCTGTCTACGAGATATTTTGAAAAACCTCTGGTTTAGTGCTTGAAGAAACATGGATTCTGCAAGTAAATCTCTATAGTCCCTTACTGTCTTCAGCTCACCCACTGCCATCTTATAACTAATCATTACTGCAGACTGTTAAAATATCAACAGCACTATTAAAACATGGCAAAATCCATTTGGTGCTGTTTGAGAATACAAAGGAATATTACAATAAACAGAAAAGATTTGGATTCTACTAACCCCAGCAGCTTCAGATTCAACAAAGCATGAAAAGCGTGGCTCTTCATGAGATGGAACTGAAAATGTAGGTATAAGTGGAGGCTCAGGTACTGAAGTCTTACGCCCGAAATGAGTCTTTATCAACTCAACTACACTCTTGAGAAGATAGACATGAGGGGAGAGAGAGAGAGAAATCATTAACAGATCTTGCAAATGAACTAACACTTGTAATTTAATCATGAATTTTTACATGCCAAGAGATCAAACCTGTGTATCAGAAAAATCTCCAACAGCTATCAGTGCCATATTGCTCAAATGATACCATTTTTTATAAAATTGCTTGACAGTCTCTGCTGATACAGTTCGAATCACCTTCTCCAATCCAATTGGTAAACGCTCAGCATACTGCAATCATTGTATGCTGTTACGGAATAATATAAAATTGGCAAACCTATTTAAGTTTACAGATAAGTTTCCCAGTTAAAAGCTGATTAAAACTTTATGTTTAAGTTCATTAACAGTAAAACTAAAGAATGGCTATTAGGATTTAAAAAATAAATAAATAAGTAGTTTGTATAAAACTAACAGCTTATATAGCATACATAACCAAAAACATCCTCTCCAATGTTCTACTGTCACATGACACATGTGCACACTACATAGGACATCGTCCCATCACAATTAAGACATATATCCTAATTGATGGGTAATAATAAATGAAAAAATCTCCTCCACGTAGAACAATTACTAAGGTTGGTACCTTTGAACCTTCCATCATCAAAAGCCAATTTGAATCTTGCATCCTTCCTGTTGCATTTCTGTTCCCTCTATATTCTTCCATCACAGCACCTCTTTCTTTATTTAAATCCTCTTTCGAGACACGGACCTGCATAAACGATCAATAAAAAATAGGAACTAAAAAAACTAAAAAAAATATTAATCTTGAAATTTACTTTACCTCTGTGCTGAATTCTGCCAAGACCGAGATGGCCTGAGACAACAGTTCAGGCTTGTCAACAGGAACGAACAGCTCATAAACTGTATCATCAGCAGATGTCACTGCATTCTGGCAAGGACCAAATTCCGATCCAATACTTTCAAGAAATTTGATAATATCATGATTTGTGTAATTCGTAGTGGCACTGAAAGCAAGATGCTCAACTATGTGAGCAACTCCCCGCTCATCCTCCTCCTCCAAAACTGATCTGCCAAGACCGCAAAATTCAGCTTGTCGATCAAGTTATTCATACATTCATCAACAGAGAAATATATATGGTTTAATCCTCTTAAAAGTTCTAATTTACCGGTTTCTTTGGTAGCAATCTCAACTTAAAAAACAAAAACAAAAAAATGGAAATCCTTCAGAAATCAAACCTAAGTCTTATTAGCCATTACATTTACCTATTACAATCTCCAACAAACCCTAGCTTAAGAGGATATTACACTAGAAAAGCATCTTTGTTTTGCGATGAAAACGAGGGTCCCATGAATTATCAGAAATATGTAATCATTTCACTTTCTCAACTCAAGCGCGTAAAAAATTTAGTATACACAGCTCTCAAAAGTATAATCCGCGTCAAGCCTCTGTGTTTACTTCTCATTCAGTCTTTCTTCACGCAGTACATTGCAAGTTTCAACCATGAACACTCAAAATTGAAGAATGTCGCCCTTGAAAATCGAAATTCAAAATTCAAATTCTTCACTGAGGAGAGAAATCATTCCGAGAAATGACAGTTGAAAATCAATACCCGGCTTTAACGGCGAGAGCGAGGGCGGCTCTTGCTCGAGGCTTGGAATTGGAGCGGACGTAGTAGAAGAGGCCATTGTCGAGTCTGCCGTAGTCAACTCCGAACGGCTCATCACTGAGAACATGGTCCAAGTCCACGTTCACGAGCTTCAGCGACCTGAAGCCCTGCTTCTTCGCCATTGGCGAGCTCTCCGGCGGAAGCAGATTCATCGTTCTCTTCCTCGGAGAAGAGCAGATTGGGAAGTTGATTCCGTTGAAAACGTCTTCTTCTTCTTCTTCTTCTTCTTCTCCGTTGGAAAGAAAGATGAGTACGCGTACGGGCCCTTTGTTGGGAATTGGGATCTGTTACAGTGGAGTCGAGCTTTGCGTATTGTTGTCTGATGACTGAAAACGCCAATGGCTGGGGGCCCCAGCTGCGGGATTAGCGACCCATCTTCGCCTTTTAATTGGATGAATGAGTTGTTGCAAACACAATTTGGTACAACTTTTTTTTTTTTATTTTTAGAAAAAAAAGAAACTAATTTTTAAAATTTATTATTATTATTATTATTAGTTAAAAGCACTTTTTTTTATATATATACTGGATGATGGATTTAAAATTTTATTAGAATCATAAGATTATAATTATTTTTAATTTATATGTATTTTTTATGAGAGAAAATATTATAATGAATCATAAATAATTATTCAAATCATAATATGAATTCTCCAACCAAATGTTCTTTAATTTTTTTCTTGATTTATTGTTCTTTTTAGAGTTTCGTTTAAAAAATCAAATAAAATACATTTAAAAAACGATTTTACTGGATAATTAAAGGTAGATATGTGAGAAAAATAGTAATTGAAAGGTTTTGAGAATCATTATTTAAGTAGTGTAATTAGAAAAATTATATATATTTATAGGGGACACGTTTGAAAAACAATATTTTAGAGAACTAAAAGGAAAAAAATATTTAAGTAGTGGATATTTGGAAATAATCATTTTAATAGAGACAAATTAGAAAAAAAAAGAATTTAATATCTTTATCGTTAATAATGTAATGACCGAGAAAATTATAGAATTAAATAATATAATTTATGCATTTAAGTCAAAGATTTTTTTAGAGAATATCATGTTATATTTTGTGACGGAAGGATTTATGGAATTAATATTAATATTTTTAAATTATGCAGCAGATTTTATGTTAAGTTCATATTTTACGATAAAGTACATTCGGTAGATCGGTAGATAAATTCTTGCCGCAATTTAAGGCAGAAGAATTTTTAGTACATATACAATTTGAGAATCTTAATTTCAAGAATCTCTAAGTCTAGTGCGGTGTTAGCAGCATATCGAGAAACACTCTGACATTCAAAAGAAATCCTTAATTGCTGAATAAAAAAGTTAAATTTAGAATTTATTTAGTCTAGAAATAAATTCAAGACTCAAAACAGTCCGAAATATTACGCAGATAAGAATTTAATTCGATATTGATTTATTCAGAGATTAATATTGAACTGTAAATAAACAGTAGAAAAGGAACTATCAGAAACTAAAACTTCATGTCAGTTAAGTCAATCCGTTATAGTCAGTGTAAATTTTGACTGCTTAATGGAATCTTAAAGAGATAAGATCAAAGACAAGATATGATGTGATTAGATGGTGATAGGTGAAGAGCAATCACGATATTCTTTTTTTCTCTGTTTTCTCTCCTAGTGGCCGGCCATGCTTAAGGGATTTTAAGCAAATTTTGGTTAATGAAGTTGGACTAGAAGATTTAATAAAGAGATAAAACCAAATTACCCACTTTATTGGAAAGCACTTTTACTTCTCTTCTAAAAACATCAACCGGCCACTATCACTAGTTTTCTCATTTTTTTTCTTCCATTCTCTCTATGCCAAAACCAGTTCTTCCAAAGCTCCAAACACTCAGAACTTTCTCCATTCTCTCCTCACCAAAAATCAAGCTTCCCTCTAGCTCACTGAGCATATTCATGCGTAAGATTAATTTTTGTCTTGTTGTTATTTTGGGTCAAAATTTTTGCAAGATTTTCTGAGTATGATTTCAAAATTTTTGGTTTGAGTCAGTTTTTGCTATCTTAAGTACCAGGAAATGATTTCCAGAGTTATTTTTGAGCACATGCTAGACCTTGTGGTAAGAGGGTTGTTGACACATTTAGTTGAGAAAAATTCCCGAGTTTAAGGTTTTCATTTTTGGTGAGTGTGAGAGTTGAGAAACAGCTTTTTGAACTTTCATTGATCTTTTGAGTTGGTTGGGTCATTAACGGAGCACCTTTACTTGACTTGTGACATTTGCTTGAGGGATGATTTCTGGTTAGGAATAATTTTTAGAAATTGAGCCATGTGTTGTAGATAGTTATCATTTTTCTTTTACATTTTATCATAAAAAAAAAGAAAAAAGAAAAAAGAAAGAGCAAGAGCATCATTTATCATCAATGTTTACGTAGTTTGGTTGCACTGACGTCTTGTGCTGCATAGCAGCCAACGCCTTACTACATCAGCTTCATCAAATGTATGTTGTCTCTTGCCTCGGAAAAAAAAAGTTTGTGTATATTTGTCTGTATTTTCGGCTCTTTGTTTGTTTATGAGATCTTCCTCTTAACCAGAATGAAATCCTGAAAGTTTGTTTACGGTTTGAGTGATGAATTGTTCCAGGTATTTGATTTGCCTATCATTTGATCAATGTTTGTTTAAAAGTTTGTCCTTAAATTACCTTCTCTCACTTGAGCGTTAATTGTGACATTTCCAACTCCATGAGCGTAATCCCTTTGCATCAAAATATTTCCGTCCCCCGTGAGGTAAATGGAGTTGAGACTTTACCTTGGTGAGTTTTTCGACGCTATTTGTGTTAAGGAATGTGGTAAGAAGGATACGGTTTGGTGCACACACACACGACTCTTTTCGCTTGAATTGCTAGAGACTAGCAATAAGCTGGTTGGGGGTTGTAATAAGTGTACGAATTTGCACTTTTAATGTTCATAATTGTCAAATTATTTTATCAAATTTGTGATTTTAATTTCAAATATTCCTAAATTTAGAGGATTTAATTTTAATTGGATTTATTTTATTTTTCATGTTTTTGAAGAAAACAATTGGATTTGGGCTAGTTTACCAAGGAAAACCCAAAAGTTGAGCCCAAGAAAAGCCCAATTCGGCCCATCAGCCCATCATCCAGCCGAGCCGAGAGCCGAGCCAAGAAGCCGCGAGCCAACCCAGCCGACACGTGTCGATCACTGCCGCACCGCATGCCGTGGGACCCACCTGTCCCTTCGCAGACGCGCGCCTGGCGCGCACCGCCCGCTCTCCGCGCGAGTTCTCCTCATGCGCGCGTCAGGTACGCTTCCTCTCTCTCCGCGTGGGTCCCGTGTACAGCAGCCCTCCAACCACGTCACACCACGTGTCCCATGTGCAGTTGCTTCCCCGATGCTTCCCCACGCCAGCAAGCGCGCTTTGCGCGCACGATCCCCCTCTCCGTGCGACTTCCGCTCCCGCGCGCGTCAAGGCTTCCTCCGCGTGGGCCCAGCCAGTATAGCACGTCTTCCCACGCGCGAATCCGCTTGCGCCACGTGTCCCACCTCGTCAGCCCTCCTGCAACATGTTTTTACATTTTTTAACATATCCAAAACTCTATAAATAGGATCATTATCAAGGTGATTAGGGAGTTGATTAATTTTTAGAATCTAAATTCTCACACATTTTCTCTTATTTTCTTGTTCTTATTCTCACACTTTCTTTTTAGAATTTTATAAGAATTATGTGCAAGCTAGGCTAGAGTATTTAGGTGAGGCTAGAGATGATCTTATATGTGTAGTGAACTTATTTGGATTTTTGATTCTCCAATGGTTTGTAAGTTTTATACATTTGAGTAAATAATTTTCTCTTATCATATTTCTTCTTCTTATCAATATATTTTATTGTCAACTTTCATATAAATCTAGTCAAGCTATTTTTATGTGATTGTTGCATTATATTATATATTGATCGGTATTATTTTATGAGTAGTCTTTTACTGCATTATTGCCAACGGTATATTGTCGCTCTTAGATTTCTCATAAGATAATTTTTCCTAATTCTAAACGTTAGAATTTTATTTACTCGAATACATTTTTAATTCATATGTTCTTCAAATATCTATTTTCCGATTGATTGTTTGGGATGTGAAACTTTTAATTGAGTCAATTTATGAATAAAAATCCAAATAGGTGAACAAAGCATAGGGAGGATTCTCAAAGCCTTACCACTTTTAACTATTGAATTTTCTCTATTTTAAATTGTTAAAAAAAAAATCATCAAAAACACTCATTCTTTTTCTTTGTTCGATTGCTTACTTTCCTAACGCTTTTTATTTGCTAATCATTTCTTGT